TGGATTCTTCTGCTGAAATTAGGGTTTTTGTGATCTTGCTTTTCCAGCCTCCTTAGGTGGCTTGTTAGGCTATTAATTTGTGCTCCTTCCATTTTCTTCATGTGTGTTTTTAGGGATATAAATTCCCCTCTTACTACAGCTTTTAAGGCGTCCCAGAGATTTTGGTAAGATGTTTCTTCATTTTCATTTGTTTCCAGGTATCTTTTGATCTCTGTTTTGATTTCATCATTGACCCAGAAGTTGTTTAGCATCATGCTGTTTAGTGTCCATGTCTTTGTTGGTTTTGGGGGGACCTTATTGGTGTCAATGTTTATTTTTATTCCACTGTGGTCCGAGAAGGTGCATGGTAAATTTCAGTCTTTTTAAATTTGCTTATGCTTGATTTATGGCCGATAATGTGGTTGATCTTGGAATACGTCCCATGTGGTGATGAGTAGAATATGTATTCTCTGGTCTTTGGATGGAGTGTTCTGTAGGTATCAATTAAGTCCATTTGGTCCAGAGTCACACTGAGGTTCCGAATCTCATTGCTGATTTTTTGTCCCGATGATCTGTCGAGGGTTGTGAGTGGGGTAATAAAGTCCCAAGTTATGATAGTGTTAGCATCAATATCTTTCTTTAGTTTTCCTAGGAGTTGCTTTATTTGGTGCACCCATGTTAGGTGCATATATGTTTAGGATAGATATTTCTTGTTGATGGTGTGAGCCTTTTATCATTATGTAGTGCCCCTCTGTATCTTTTTTAATTTTTGATAGCTTAAATGGTATTTTGTCTAAAATTAGGATTGTGACTCCTCCTTTCTTTTGTGTTCCATTCGCCTAGAAATTTGTTTCCCATCCTCTAACTTTGAGTCTGTGCATGTCCTTCTAGTGAGATGGGTCTCTTGAAGGCAGTATATTGTTGCCTGGTGATATTTTATCCATTTTGCCATTCTATGTCTTTTCAGTGGTGCATTTAGTCCATTCACGTTCAGGCTAATTATTGAAATGTGAGTTTGTCCCTATCATAGAGTTCTTATAGAGTTGTTCTTCCACTTGGTTTATTGTCTTTCTTTTGTTTTGGGGGTTGGTTCATGTGTATTTTTATCTTTTTCCTGTACTCTTGTGAGGAACGTTGTTCTTTTTTTCCCCTTTTCTTCTGTGTTTAGTACTTTCGTGAGTGTTTCATGTAGTGGTGGTTTGGTGGCAGTGTAAGTTCTTAGGGATTGGATATCTGGGAAAGATTTTAATTCTCCCTTGCTGATGAAGCTTAATCTGGCTGAGTAGGTTATTCTTGGTTGAAATTGTTACCTTTAGGACTTTGAAGATAGTGCTCCAAGCTCTCCTAGCCTGCAGGGTTTCTGTAGATAAATCTGCTGCTATTCGAATTGTTTTTCCTTGGTAGGTATCTGGCCTTTTTCTCTTGCTGCCTTTAGGATTTTTTCTTTTATGCCTACTTTTTTAGGCGAATTATTATGTGTCTAGGAGTTGGTTTTCTCATTTGTTGTCTTGCAGGGGTTCTCTGAATCTCTTGTGTTTGAGTTTTTGCATCATTGCTTAGATAAGGGAAGTTTTCTTGAATGATCTCATCGAAGGTTTGTTCCAGTGTGGTCTCTTTCTCTCTTTCTGCCTCAGAAAGGCCAATTACTCTTAGGTTCGGTCTCTTGAAGTAATCACTCATCTCTTGAAGGTTTTTTTCTATCTTTTTGAGCTTGTTTTCTGTGTTTTTGAGAGTTTGGGTTAGTTCTATATTTTGGTCCTCAAGCTCTGAGATTCTTTCTTCTGCTTGGGTAATTCTGCTTTCCATGCTTATCAGTTTGTTATTTATTTCATTCACAGTATTCTTTATTACTGTTATCTCAGATATCAGCTCCTTTCTAGTTTCTTCTTGAGTCTTCTCAATTCTTTTAATCTCTTCATTAATGTCTTGATATCTAGGTTTATAGTTTGAGACCAGTCATTCTGGGGGCTCTTCGTTGTTTGCATTCCGAAGTCAGTTTTCTCAGTGTCTGCCCTCCCAGGAGTCTGGGAGAGACCCATATTCTTCTTTTGGTTTTTCTTCATTTGTGTAGATTTTTCTCTCGTCTCTTAGTGGCTAAAGTCCCTTAAGCTCTAATCTCCAGCCTCTCCCCTCTGTTTTTGTTGCAGGCAGCTAGCCTGCTGCCTGGGAGATCTGTGACTTGTCTCTGTTCAGTGTAGGGGAGGGGCTTTGTCTCCTGTTTAATGATGTCACCGTGGGAACCAAGGTGGAGGCTCTGATAGGTGGGCGGGGCAATGCAAATCTGCCTTGAAAATGGCGGAGGTGGTAGTTTTACTTTCATTTTTAGGGATGCTCATGTGGGTCTCTAGGCGGGACCAGCTGCACAGCTGGGCACTGGATCTGGGGTGCCACCAGCAGGCTGGGGTGGAGGAGAGGGTCGGGGGTTCCCTCCTCTGGAGCTTGAAGCCTCCGATCAGCACCTTACATAAGCTCCCTTACACAAGCTTGCAGTCACACAGTGAGTGCCTCAGCCAGGGTGGGCCTGGGGCTCCAGATCTCCAAAGCTCCAGAGGGCAGGTGGTGACTCTGGGTCCCTCACAGGGCACTTCTGCCAGAAATGGGAATGGTATCTCTGAGGGGCGGGCACCCAGAGCCTCCCAGGGTGATCAGCAACTTGGTACTGGGTGCTGGTCATGACGATGTAACCAGGGAGGGATTCCCCAGCCAGCCGGAGTTACATATAGTGGAGCAACTGCAGCTGGGCCACAATATCTGGCCCTGCATGGGACCAAAGGTCCCCAGGCCTCATACCAGTGTGGCTGGCGGTGGTCAGGGGGCTGCAGGAAGAAAAGTAAGAGTCTTTTTGGGAACTCACGTTCGGAGAGTCTCATGAATCCTCCTATGCCGTCACCATCTTCAGGAGTCTCTCCAGATATTTTTTCATATGTTTGTGGCTACTTGAATGTCTTCCTTTGAGAAGTGTCTGTTCATGTCCTTTGCACACTTTTTAATTTTTTTTCCCTTTCAATTTGTTTGAATTCCTTGTAGATCCTGAATGTCAGGCCTTTGTCAGATGCATAACTTGCAAATATTTTTTCACATTCTATGGGTTGTCTCTTTACTCTCTTGATGGTTTCTATTGCTGTGCAAATACTTTCCAGTTTGATGAGGTCCCACCTGTTGATCTTAGCTTTTGCTGCATTTGCTTTGAAGGATTTGGTCATGAATTCTTTGCCTACTCTGATGTCAGGTTCAAGGTAAAGCACTGGAGAAAGATCTTCCAGGTAAAAGGAAGACAAAAAAGAGCAAAAGTAGTTATTCTTATATCAGATAAAACTGACTTTAAACCAATAAAAGTTAAAAAGAACACTACATAATGATAAAAGGCTCAATCCACTAGCAAGAAATATCCATCTTGAATATATACACACCCAACATAGAAGTACTCAGATTTATAAAACAATTGCTAATTAAATTAAAAGAGGACAAAGACAGCTATACAATTATAGTTGGAGACTTTAACACCCCACTAACAACCTTAGATGGATCATTGAAGCAAAAAACTAACAAGGAAATCTGAAACCTTAACTCAGCATTCAACAAGTTGAACCTAATATACATCTACAGAACACTTTGCCCAACAACCACAGACTAGACATTTTTCTCATTAGCGATTAGAACATACTCCAAGATCAACCACATACTCGGGCATAAATCAAGCATGAATAAATTTCAAAAGGTTGAAATCTTACAAACATCTTCTCAGACCACAGTGGAATCTCTCTATTTTTAAGTCACAATTGAATGAAATGGAGACCCAAAAAATCATAGTAAGGGTCAATGAGACAAAAAACTGGTCCTTTGAAAAATAAATAAGATTGACAGACACCTGGCCAGACTGGAGTGCAGGCGCATGAGAGAGAGAAAGAGAGAGAGAGAGAGAGAGAGAGAGAGAGAGAGAGAGAGAGAGACAGAGAGAGAGACAGAGAGACAGACTCCAAACAAACACAATTAGAAATGAAAAAGGCAATGACACAACTGACCCTGAAAAAATTCAAAAGTTTATCAGAGATTACTACGGACATCTGTATGCAAACAAACTAGAAAATCTAAAGGAAATGCAGAAATTCCTGACATCATATAACTTCCTAAGACTTAACAGGAAGAAATTGAAACTCTAAACAGACCAATAACAATCAAAGAAATTGACTCAGTAATAAGATATTATCTTTTTATTTATTTATTTTTTTGAGTTGGAGTCTCACTCTGTCACCCAGACTGGAGTGCAGTGGCACACTCCTAGTCACTGCAGCCTTGACCTGCTGGGCTCCAGCAATTCTTGTACCTCAGCCTTCCAAGTATCTGGAACTACAGGCACACGCTACCATGCCCGGTTAATTTTTGATTTATTGTAGAGATGAGGTCTCACCAATTTGCCGGGGTGGGTCTCAAACCCGTGGGCTCAGGCAATCCACTTACCTCGGTCTCCCAAAGTGCAGGGATTACAGGCTGAGCTACTGAGCCTGGCCATATATTATCTTTTTAAAAGATCTTCAGTTTCTTTGGTAGCTTTGTCATGGTGATCATGTACAAAATCATCACTCACCCTAAGTTTTACACAACTGGGATATGTCAATGAGATAATTAGGGTACTTTGTATTAAAGATTGGTTTACCATGATATTAATCCAAAAATACCCTCTCAGTCTAAAATTTTTTTAAAAAATAACATTCTTGGACTGTCATTAACCACCAATTAGTCTATTTTCTAAATGTAAAAAAAAGTACCTGATTTTGTTCCAAAGAGCATTCTGGAAGGTATATTCTGGACAGAAATTGAAAAAAGCAGAAATGATTTGATAAAGTAGTCTTCATGGCCAATGGCCATTCTGCAGGATCTGCCTTGCTAATCCAGTGATTATAAAAAGGGAATAAAATAAGTTATTAGTTGTTAATGAAATATGTTCATTCACTACAGATTTGAAATGAGTCATTTAGCACATGGTGTTATATTTAAAATTATTATTTTTCCTTTTTACTTAGATCTTTCTCTGGAATCAAAGGACTCCAGCTGAAAGTGAACCTCCAACCCAATGACAATTACTTTTTCTATGTGAGAGCCATCAATACATTTGGGACAAGTGAGCAGAGTGAAGCTGCCCTCATCTCCACCAGAGGTACCTTCTCCATTCTACACAGCCTGCTATTTTCAGACAGTTCCTTTCCTTCACCCAGAGAAGACATCTTAGAGGGAAACTTCATAAAACTCTGACTTGCTGTCAGTGCTAGGTGTTTGCCATGAAGATCCAAGGCCGGTCAAAAGTCAAGATGTTTGGTTTTCAGCTTTAAAGTTTCTCAACCTTGGCTGCCTACTAGTAGTCAGGGTGCTTTAAAAAATCTATTCCCTGGCTGTACTCCCAAAGATCCCAATTCAATTGGTCTGGAGATGGGCTTATACATTTGTGTTTTTAGAAATCTCCCCAGATGATCCTTGTTTGATGCACAATGTGCTATAAATTGGGGGTATGGTGTGTGTGGGGGCTTGGGGATTGGGGACATTCCTATTCTATCATACTGTGAACTCTGTGAACAGTTTTCCAGTCTTGTTTCCCTGCTTATTCTTGGTACTTGGCAATTAATTAATTGCTGCTTGGCATAAATTGTGCCAATTAATATTTGTTGAATGAACAATTGAAAGAGTAACTCAAGGAAGTGGCAAAACTGTTCAATGACGTTTTGGGGAAAATACCAAGATGATGTCAACAAAAAATGCTTGACTGTTCTCAATTTTTGTGAAAGGAAGTGAGGAATAGAAAGGCGATCATGCCGGGCTCGGTGGCTCAGCCTGTAATCCCGGGCCTTTGGGAGGCTGAGGTGAGTGGATTGCCTGAGCCCGCAGGTTCGAGACCCACCTGGGCAACTTGGTGAGACCTCATCTCTACAATAAATAAAAAAATCAGCCGGGCGTGGTAGCACATGCTTGTAATTCCAGCTACTTGGAAGGCTGAGGTGGAAGGATCGCCAGAGCCCAGCAGGTCGAGGCTGCGGTGACCGGGAGCGGCCACTGTACTCCAGTATGGGCAACAGAGTGAGACTCCAACTCAAAAAACAGAAAAAAAAAAAAGAAAGGCCATCATTTCATTATTTTATCCCAGACTCAGAGGTGGCACAAGATAGAGGAGGGCACAATAAGTGATTTCCTTAACCAGCAAAAGCATGTGCATATGTCTAGTCTGTGAGGCAGTTAGGACCAACATGATGGCCATGAAGAGATATGAGGGCTGCCTGCCCAGAAATGTTTTCCCTGCTGCCCAGTAGAGTGCCTTACTTTATATTGCAGGACCTCTCTTTTGGGCGACATCAGTGTGGTCCCAGATTTTGATGGACACTCAGTGGTTCTGAGGATCTTGCCAAAATACGAATTTGGAGTCAGCAGACCTGGGGCGGGGCCTGAGGTTCTGCATTTCTAACTAGCTCCCAGGTGATGTCGTTGCTGCCAGTACAAGGAGAGCACTTAGCATAGCAGGGTGAGAGCTAGCAGGACACACCTGTGCAGGACGTACCTGCAGTGCCACCAGATAGGAAGGGTCAGCACTGGCATCCACGAAAGCCTAATCAGGAGCAAAATTTGCAGCTGTGGCTATGGATACACTGGTGGCAGTGGGGGATTTGATGTCATGGAGAAGGAGACCAAGGTCTGAAATGCAGGGTGGCCCACATACAGCACTGGACATTGTGGCGATGTTATAATCCTATTTCCTTAACTGCAATAGGAACCAGATTTCTCTTGTTGAGAGAAACAGCTCATCCTGCCCTACAGATTTCGTCAAGCGGGACAGTGATCAGCTTTGCTGAGAGGAGACGGCTGACAGAGTAAGTGGAAGGGAAGACACAGTGGGCTGGTGCCCCATGGCAGAACCTTAGCTCGTTGCTACAGTGAGGCTTGAGTGCACTCTGGGCTTGGTGAACAGGCCAGCTGTGGTGTCAGACGCAAATGTGTGTACACCCATACCACTCAGTTGTGAGAGGCAGCAGGAGTCCATAACCCGGAGCTAGTGTGAGTATTTTTATTGGAAATATAAGCCCAGATGGTTTTGTTTAAAACCTTGGCTATTTTAAGGTATGATCTCTGGTTCAGTGAAAAAAAAGGGTCCAGTGTGGTCCTTCTATTATTTTTTATTGCAAGCTGGATTTTGTCAATCCTCTTGAACAGGAACAGAGGAGAAGGACATTTTATGAAGCTCCTAGTTCTGGCTTCCATAGTAGCTCTCACAAAAGGGAAGCACGGAGGAAAGGCAGAGCACAAAGGCTGAGGATGGGGTGGGGAGCCTGCCCTCTGATGTGCCTGCAGCTCTTGGGGTTGACAGCCAGATTGTCAAAGTATGTGAAACTCCTTTGAACACTGTAGCACACGTGAAACACATACTGCCGACGTACGCAGCTGTCGGCCCCATGCTTGCACAAATGCACTACATAGCCGGTGGTGATCTCTGGTCTTGTCAGTTGCTCCCCACCTGTCTGTGGCCCAGCTTGAGTGCTTCTTGCATCTGGAAGTGGCCACGCATCTCTAGGCTTGGCACTCCTTGATCTATGTGTGTAAAAGAACAGATAACTTGTGGGGTCTTTTGCCAGATACTCAGCCATGAATCACATCCCAGCAGCAGCCTTGTCCTATGAGACTTTGAATGCCCAGAATGTAGCATGGGGCTTGGAGCATTGTAGGCATTAAAGTATACAAATGAGTGAATTCAGGCAAAAAAATTTTTTTTAAATAAATTAAGCTTTTCTGCCTTTTGAATTTCTCAAAAAAATAAACAAAAAAAAGAGAAATAGACTGGAGGTGGATAAGAATTCATAGATAATAACTGATGATAACTGTAATGTATTTTCTAGAATTTTATTTATGTTTAACCTGAAAATTAGCTCATAAATATCAGGCAGCTGGGCTCTTCTCCCGAGAATGAGGGCTTGTCAGAGGCTTCTCAGGAATGAGGTTGTTGGGTAAAGACCAGAACATGAAATCCATTCCCTTGCATTCATCATTTTCTCATCTGTTAAAGGGGAGAAAGAGAGGGTGCTGACTGGATGTTAACGCTGCTTAAATTAAAAATGCTTCCTTGCTGTCTCAGCCATTTCCAAGTAAAATTGAGCAATTCATGCAAACAAGGTCACCTGTCAGCAGTTGAAAGTGCTTTGGTTAATGTCACTGAGCTCTTGTAAAAAATAGCAAGGGTGAGACAAAAAAATAAACCTTTAGCCAACTTCTCGGGGCATCTACCACAGCTCAGAGTAGAGCGCCAGGAAGGCTGACCATAAGACCCACAGAGCCTGCCCCTCACACCTGGCTAGTCCACGGCCCACTCTGCTCTGGCTTCAAGAGGTCGTGCCATTTGAGAGCTGTCCCTCACCTGGTCGCTGCACCCAGTAAGGTCAGCAGGCACTAGAACATCCTGTTAAAGAAGGTCTTGGAAAGACCTTTTTTGCAGGTTTTGGAAGAAAACTTTCCAAGTTAAGTGACCCACCTGCTTCCTTTGTGTTTTCTCCCTCTCCTTAAAAAGCAGACATGGTGCTGTTTCTTTTTGTCCTGCTATTATTCTAGCTATTTTCTGGTTCCCAGCTCTTTTAAATGATGCAATGTGCAATGTACATGTTGTATGTGACAGTGAAAATATGTCAGAGGCACGTTGAGAGTTTGGCGGCATTCCATGGTGATCTGGTCAAGCTTAGGGGCACAATGAACAAAGAAAGTCTTTAGTCAACTTCCAGTAGTTTCCAAGGATAGAATTCCGCCTAAACAGTGTGCACTTGTGCATGTGGATGCTCATGAGCTATGGCTGGTGATTCCTGGGCTAAGCATCATCTGATGGACTTTGCCTGCAGAATCCCGTCCGTGTTGGGAGAGGAGCTGCCTGCGTGTGGCCAGCATTATTGGGAGACCACCGTCACAGACTGCCCGGCGTATCAACTCGGCATCTGCGCCAGCTCAGCTGTGCGGGCTGGTGCCCTGGGACATGCGGAGACCTCGTGGTACATGCATTGCTCTGAGCCCCAGAGGTGAGCCGGGTCCTGCTCTTCCCCTTCTAATCAGTGTCATGGTGGATAACTGGGCAGGGGTCCTCTGAGGGACCACATAAGCAGCATCCCACTTTTCTGCCCATGTTCTGAGCCCACTTAGAGAGAAAATAGGAGTCAAGTATTTGGAGATTATACAATTACTCTGATTACTGAGGAAGCTAATTTTAGAGAATGCAGATCATACCTGAAGTAAGAGGGCTTCTTATCTTAAAACCTATTATTACGCAGACTGCCCACCCAGAGCTCTGGCAGGCCAGTTTCCCTGCTCAGCAGGGCAGAGTTGGTCCCTGGAGAAGCAGAGGGATGTGTGCCTTCCTAGCCTGCACAAAGAGATGGGGAAGAGAGAGGGCTGCTATTTCATGCATGGCCAGCTGTTCCTTCTAAAATTGCCTGGGGTGGTAAGCCACAGGGTAAGGCTAAAAGGGCTCCCTGCACGGAGAAGGAATCATAGGCAAGAGGAGGAAGTGGGTCCCCAGCACCTGCCCCATGTTGGTCACGTCAGGGGCTGGTCAGCAACAGCCCACCGGCCGAAGAGGACCCACTGCTGGGTTTGTAAATGCAGTTTACACAGCCATGATCATTTGTCTATGGCCTCTTGTACACTCTAGCAGCAGAGCCAACAGAGGCCAATTTGAAATTTGTTTGGTTGGTTGATGTGAAAAGCCATTGGCCTAGTTAGTCTCAGAGAGATCAGGCAGGCATGTTGTGATGTGAATATGCTCATGGGATGGTCTGGTAGAAAAAGCATCAGACTGGGACCCAGAAATCCAATTCCTGTCCCAGCGCCATCCCCAGTTAACCTCAGGTTGGCTGATGCAGCAATGGACTGAGCCCTTGAGCATCCCTTGCATGTTTCACTGGTGTCCAGTGGGGACAGCCACGCCCATCTGCTCCCTTCTGGGGCTTGAGGATCACATGAAGCTGGTATAGAGAAGAGCTTGAAAGTGTAAAATATCATACACATGTGAGGCATTATTCAAATGTAGTGCTTTAAAAAGAAGCCTTTGGTGCCTGCGAGTTCCCAGAAAAGGCCCACAGATTGGGATTTTGCATATCTCTGGCTATACTTTCTTCCTGCATCCTCCTTGACAGTTTGCTTCTCTGAGATGGTTCACGAGGACGCATCTCCTGGAACAACTGAAAGCCATGTTCCTTCAAGTTGGAGAAATTACGATTAATTGAATCCAGTACTGTGTGTTGCTTCCGGACCCAGCTCCCCACCTAGAGCTTACCCAAACTAAGGGCTAGCCTCTAGTAACACATTTCTAGACTCTAAAAACCAGAATCATATGCTTTGCCAGCAAGTTCAACCTACAACTTTGGTCTTTGGCTCTTTCAGGCACCGAGTGGGCACCATAGGTTCTGAGAGGAGTGTCAGCCTGTGTCACCACAGCACAGAGAGACCAGGCCTCCTGTCATACTCGAAAGGCTTCCCACAGGGCATCGTGACCTCTAGAGCACTGTAACTGTGGCAACCCCTCTGTTTCTTCTATTTCTTCTGGCTTAATGACTTTAAACCAAGCTGTATTGCTCTTGGTTTTAACCACACAGAATCTGAGCTTTAGGAAGCCATGGTTGGGAAGGGGGCGTGAAGATCATCCCAGAAACATCAGCTGCTTCCTTCTGTCCATTCCTAACTTAACTATCGAGCTCAAGGCCTTCTCACCTCTTTCAGTCTTACCAGCAGCCCTGCTTGCACCTGCATGTCTAGTCTCACCCATGCAAGCAACCCTAGTGTCACAATGGGAAATGTTTCTAAGACATCAGTTCCATCACGTCCTTTTTTTTCTGCTCAAAAGCCACAAACATTCACAGCATGTCAGAACTCAGGTGGTACCATCTGTAGGGGCCAGTGAAGGGGGAAATCAGAAGGAATGTGGCCAGGCAGGGGATGAGCCCTGAGGGAGCTGCCACCAATGTCCTCAGGAGTTAGGGCTGGTGCTGGGCCAGCAGGGAGACTCAAGAGCTAGGCGGTCCTTGGACAGTCAGTTCCAGGTCATGCTGGTGTTCATTCTGGATGATTCTTGTTTGAAAAGGGCCCAGCAGTGCCAGAGCTCAGGCTTGTGGTGGCTGCTGCGCTCAGTGGGAAATGGAGACAGAAGAGGGCTGGGCACATCCACATTCCGCAGAACTGCTGGAGCCAAGGCTTCAAGACTGTCTTCCCTCTTTGGCTTCCAGGTGGAGACTGGCTCCAGCAGTGACCAGGACTGGGCCTGTGGGGCACAAGGACCTTTCAAACAGGAGAGGGAAATGGCTTCCTGGGTCACTTGGAAGCCTGCAGCCCAGTGCTGTACAGCAGAACATGCTACGTTGATAGGAACACAGTGTCACTAGTGGCTGTTCAACACTTGAGGTGTGGCTAGTAGAAATGAAAAACTGAATCTTCAATTTTATTTAAATTGAGTTATTTTCAGTGGCCACACATGGCTAACGGATATGTCTTTGACAGGGCAGGTCTAGTGTCAGACCACCGACTTACTGATCTCTGTAATAACCTAAAAGTTATTTATTCCCATGTCCCATCTATACCCACCAGGCAGATGGTGTCCTTTCGAGCATGAGCCCACTCCGTCACCTTTCATCACGCTGCTGCCATTACTTCAGGGTCTCTTTTTCCTTCTTTTCCACCTGTTCACATCCCACCTCTTCCTTCTGGCTGAGTCAAGCCCACACACTCCCAAAGTCTTCCATGAGCGCTCAGCCCACCTACTGCTCCCCACTGCTGCCACCGCAACTGTTTTCTGCCCTGCAGGTTCTAGAATGTCATGATGTTCTGGCATCTTTCATGAGCTAGACGTTGAAAAGGTCCTTTATTATCAACTGAGTCTTGCTTGTCTCCCGTTGCCATTAATTCTGCCCTTTTACGCAAGCTCCTTTCTGCAGTGGAGTGGCCAGCTTGCCACCTCCTCAATCCTAGAGTTTATGGGCCTGAAGACAGACATCAAGGGTCTTAAAGGTCTTCGGCCCTCCCTGACCGACCTGTCACTCACCCAGATTCCTGGGCCCCAACTGCCCTGGTGTCACGGTGCTCCTACCTCTCTGACCTTCGTATCTGCAGACTTTCTTTTTTCCATTTCTTGTTCCTTCCCTTCCCCTGTTCTCTGGACCTCACCCTCAGTTTCTAAGGCTATTAGGAGAAAGCCTCACACGTGTGTCCTTTTTTTGCACAAAGCAGTTTAGCCTTTCTGGTCAGCATTTCTCTCTCTTAGTCTGGTCTTGAAGCTCTCCCTTCACAACCAAGACAGGCCATTAAATGTGTTTGGTCCAACATGTCTACTACCTGCGTCCTGAAAGGCATGCTTACCTCTGGTCCATGTTGCAGATGCCAGCAGCTTTTCCTTCCTGCTCCATATGGTATGGGGTCCCAGAGGGCAGGAACAGTCCTCCATGTCCCAGAGAGCCTGGTACTGTGCCAGATCCACAGATACACCAAGGAGGAGTTATTGAATGGAATGTGTTTGAATTGAAGAGAAATTCAAGGCAATTTCTGGCTGCAGGACTGCAGTAGACATTAAGATGAAAATAAACATTGGTTTGGGGTGGGGGAGTGGAAACAAAGGATGATGTTGGCAAAGATAATGAAATCTTTCTTAAACTTCGTAAAGACACTTATGTAAGTCACCTATAAATTTTTTAAACGGTAAAATGAATACACTGTATGAAAGGCAAGCCCGTGGTACTTTTTTTTTTGAGTTGGAGTCTCACTCTGTCGCCCAGACTGGAGTGCAGTGGCCGCTCCCAGCCACCGCAGCCTCGACCTGCTGGGCTCCAGCGATCCTTCCGCGAGTAGCTGGAATTACAGGCGCATGCTACCACACCCGGCTGATTTTTTGATTTATCGTAGAGGTGAGGTCTTGCTGCCCAGGCGGGTCTCGAACCCGCGGGCTCAGGCAATTCACTCACCTCAGCCTCCCAAAGGCGCGGGATTATAGGCTGAGCCACCGAGCCCGGCCCGTGGTACTTTTTAAAACACATGGCAGCCTCAAAGGTGTTTCATTCAAAAGAATGACATCCCGTGAATGCGGAGTTAAAACATGTGGGCAGCTGGGAGAGAACCAGAATGTGGAGAAAAGCCACCAGGGATGCATGTGCCGGTTATTCTGGGACTGCCTCCTGGCGTGGAGGGAGTGAAATCATTACACATGCTCATCTGCTGGAATGAGCCATGCGTCCAAGCGGGGTCTAATGAAAGTGTCTGGGCATACTCATTATTATGAATTGGAGTTAATGACGGAAAAACCATCCCTTTCCAAGTGGTTTCCTTATCAAGAGTTCCCTTCTGTTTCCTTTCAGATACACATTTTTCTACAGTGGCATTGTGAGTGACGTCCATGTGAGTGAGCGCCCGGCCCGGGTGGGTATCCTACTGGACTATGGAGGCCAGAGGCTGCTCTTTATCAACGCGCACAGCGGGCAGCTGCTCTTCAGCATTCGGCACAGGTTTAATGAGGGCGTCCACCCGGCCTTCGCCCTGGAGAAGCCAGGAAAGTGTACTCTGCACCTGGGGATCGAGCCCCCGGATTCTGTGAGGCACAAGTGATCTCAGCTCTCAGAATTTGCAAGAGCAGTCCTTGGACTGTGGACTCTGTCATTCTTCTTCTTGGGTGCTGTACAGCATTCAGAAAGTCTCCCCGACAAGCCCACACAGCCCCACATGAGCCAGCCTGCGAGGAAGCCCTGACGGGCAGAGCAGCAAGTTCAGAGGATGAACACAGCCCATCTCTGTGTGAGCTCTTTCCTCAATTAAAAGGTCCTATTCTTGACTCGGGAACCAAAATAGAGACATGGCCCTGTTTTATCAGCGAGATAACTCCTCTGATGGCGAGGCTGGCATAGAGGGAGGCCTTGCTTGTAAGACCCCTCCTCTGACAGAGACACAGACGCTTTCCATACACGTCACTTTCAGGCACTAGAGATCTACACTATCTGATCTACATTTACAGTGAACTCTTTTGTAATAATGTATACTGTAGAACATGAGTCTCTTTCTCTGAAATTTTAAATGCAGGGTAGTACTAGAAATTTCAGTTTTGTTAAATAAATGGTTAGCGTATTTAAAACCAATCATGTTATGTGAACTTCTTGTATATAACATAACAGTCTGGCATCTGCGGAGCAGGACAAATTGCCCATCACACTTCAGTGGGTTGTATTACTATTTATTTTCTTGTGAGAACTTTATACACACACATGCATGTACTTTTTATTTATTTATTTATTTGTTAAGTTTTGAAACAAAGATTATTAACGAGAAAAGAGAGAAGGAGGAAGAAGAAATATTCATGGCAGAAAGACGCGCCATAGGCAAGTTTTTCAAAGGAGAAAAACGGCCATTCCTATACTTGAGACCTAAACACTCTCGCTCAGCCCATAGTTGTAGTCAAATTCCAGGGGCTGGAAATCTCTTTTACCAAAGTAAAATAGCATCATTTTTAGACATTATATTGAAATCTCTCAAAACCTTCCTAAAACCTGTATGCAGAGTTATAAATCTAGAATGCATGTTGAGGTGACTGCTTTTGTTTTCTATCTTGTAAATGCTTTCACCATATTTATAATTTAAATCAACAAGGGTACCGCATAATCAACATAATCAACATTTGTATACCTAACCCTGAGTGGTACTCCACATCTTTATAATTAAAAAAAAGAACAAAAAAAAATCATAAAACACGAATTCAGTTATTTCCTTGAATTGAGAGGTGATATTCTACTTTTTGCATATTTTCTAAAATACATTGTTTATTTTTTTTAACTAGAGAAAAGCAAACAAGTTTATTAACATGTGTATTTCACACATGCATGGGAGATACCCGGGGAATGAGTTATAGCTTTGAATTCCAGCTTATATGGCTTCTTCAACAAAGGAAAATACATTTTTAGAGAAGTGACAAGACAAAGGAAAAGAACTTTGAGTCTCTAGGGACAGCAACTTGTGGGAAGGCAAGCCCGTGGCAAGTAAAGTCTACTTAGTAAAGCTTCTTCATGTAGGTTCCTCTGAAATTTCTTGCTTAATTGTTAGAAAATTCCAACTGGGTCTGTAACGGCTTTACTAGAGCCCCATGGGCGCATCCTACCCCGCCCTGCAGTGGAAGCAGCTGCTGGTCGGGTGGAGTCTGTGTGCAGTCGGAGGAGCCCCTGCTGCTGCGTGGAGAACGTTACCTTCATTTTCTCAAGCCTTGAAGGTGTCATCCTCAGGTTCTGACTGATCAGCCACCCATGGTCATTATTACTTTTTTCTTTGGGTGTGAATGTATAACCACATGAGTTTTAGAATTTGTCTCAGTTTGGGTTTCTTCAAAAGCAGACTGGCTTAAAGATGCATTGCTGGTTGTTTACCTGGGCAGAGATTCTAGGAAGAACACTTGAGGGAGGGGGACAGTGAGGCAGAAAGTGGGAAGCCAATAAAGGACATGTACAAGAGGCTATTGTCACTGTGGGCACTGGGCTCACTCGTGCTGGGGGCCCCTCTGGAAGCCACATGGGGACATGTTAGAGGCCTCCCAGGACCTCCCCTGTCCAACCTTAGTTGAGGGTGGCCTGGGGGCTTCCCCTTCTCTACCCTTCTCTACATTCCCTGTGGGCCCCCTGGTCCCGAAAAAGCCCTCAGAGGGCACTAATGAAGCACAGACACCTGCATGGATCTGGTCCACATGTTGAAAATCGTCCCACCAGCTGGGGTGGGTGGGGCAGGGCACTTGTGGTCTCAGCCACCATGTTATAAAGAGGAAAGCCACCATGATGGGAAGAACCAGGTTTGAATCCTAATGAGGCGCATACAGGATGATCCCTTTGGGCAACTCAGATTCTTTAGTTATGTCTTTTCTCGAAAGAACAGTAAGCAGGTTAAGGAAGCATGTGACATGGTACAGCATCCTGTAGGCTGCAGAACATCATGATAAGGGATCCAGAGATCCTTAGACCAACCCTGAACCACATCCCGGTGACTTGGGTGCCAAAAGGCGAACCTCGGGCCAAAAGGGCTTGTGTGGGCTTCCTCTGTCTGTCAGTGACAGCACTGTTCTTGGCTGGTGCTCAGAATGATGCTAGTGAGACAGGCAGAGCGGAGATCATGCTATTTTTCCACACTCTTGACAGGTGATCCCCTTGGCCCTTCTCTGACATCCACTTTCCCTTCCCTTTGTCCCTCCTCTTCACATAACGCAGACCCTCAGAGGCAGGAAAGTCCGTGAGTTTTGGTCAAAATTGCTCCTCTAGTGTTTCTTAGTTTAGGAGCATGTACAGCACATGCAACCTCTCTTTTACTCCTCATCAGAACCCTGCAGAGTAGAAATTGTTGCCATCTTGCAGATGAGGAAACTACCTCAGAGCAGTGAGATAACGGTCACAGTCACAGCTGGCAGGACCAGAGCCTGAACTGCTTGGATTTCAATGCAGCCTAAATCCTGAGCAAAGACTCAAATGAGTGTATTCAGTCTCATTCTTTATCGTAGGTCATTTTCTTACATATATGTGGTGTGTGAGAATTACGTGTGTATACACACGTGCACACATGTTCTCTTCCCCCTCGAACCAATTTCCTCCCTAAGCTTCTGTTTTGATTGCTGGTGTCGTTCTAACTCCTGGAAGGCATGGAGTTACCTTGATTTTTTCCTTCAATACCAGTGATCTTAATTAATTTATGTCTGATATTATGTGCACGTGGCTCTTTGAGCGTTCAAAACAGTCTATAACATTCTATTTGTGGAGAAAAGACTTTACCTACATGAAACCACAATAGTGCTGCTAAAAGACATGGGTCAAAATGAAGACGTCTGTGGGAAAAAGAAAAAGAAATGAGTTTGTACACCGTGGTCCTTCTCTCTCTTTTGCATACACATCTGACAATCTTAGATGATATGTTCTCATTACAGTCAGAAATGTTTTTCTATTGGAGCAAATCATGCTCCTATTGTGGCTCTGGAGTGCATCCTCCAAGTCCGCAGCACTGAAGTGTTGTGCTTCGTCACATCCATGTGCAAGACATGTGCGTGAGGACTGACCCCATGCCCGTCCAAGGCCCCCTCAGGCCTCAGAGGCCTGTGTCTGAAGTCACTTCTCATCCTCCCTGCGATCCTTATCCTTCATCATCCCAAGTGTTGGATTGCTGGAAGAACCCATGGGATTCAAGCAGTTTATATTCAGAGAATGGCTTTATTACAGGCAAAGGTCCCAGTATGGAGGGAGTCCTGAGGCCTCAGATGCTGGTGTCTTTATCATCCCACCGTTGAGTGGCATGGTGTGCATATAGTCTCCTGGCCTCATACCACAGTGCTTGTGGGAAGTATCTTGATGCCAGAAGGTTCAAGTGTTGTTTGTGGTGGTGCTGGTGGTGAGTCTCTCTCACAGTGAACTGGCCACAGGTACTGTCTAGCTATGTGACTAGATCTGGGTTCTGAAACTCACCTCCCTGACCCCACAACCTCCACCAAAACCAAATGTGGATCATAAATCCAATGATTATGACTAAACAATGCCGACAGGCGGACCCATCCTGCTCTGGAACAATGGATGGCTCTATGGTTTAGAATGTCACTTAATAGATCTATGGCATGTCCCAGGGTCAACAGCTCTACAGATGTGCACAAGAGCAGTGACAATCAGCTGAAATGAACTCATGCTCGGCTCTCACTGTCCTGTGTTCCTGAGGTGGTGTTAAAAGGAGCTGTTTGTCTCTGTGCCAATAGCCATTCCCTTCGGGATCCTGACTTGGTGATTGCTGGGATGGGAGTGATCCCAGGTATATCCCTGAGCTAGATGCCATTGAACTTGATTTCTAGCCCCTCCACAGTGCTTGGGAGGGAACATATATTCTGGGCTGTTTTTAGAGCAAGAGACGGACACTCACATTTTCCTTTACAACCTGGAAGTGTGTGTGACGTGCTTCTCTTTCCTGTCCCCCTGTTTTGGTCTTGTCATGGCAACTCAATTTTTATCTGCTTTCACATAGGGTTCCATATTAAATAAATATGGATCTTATTATGTCATATGGAACTTAATTATATGTAATTTATTCAATAAAAATGTCACTATGGTTAAATAACATTTACAAACTATATAACCACTGAGATTCAAGTCTGAATGTTCCTACCCAAGGTGACCCCAAAGTCTCCAAGTCCTCCATTCTTTCAGGGTCCCCTTTCCTTTGCTGTCCAAAGGAATACTGATACAATATCCATTGTAAGAAATTGCTTATCTCACATTTCTGAGAATTCTCATAGAGGATTACATCTCCCTGGTTAACACCTCTGACCTTCTGCTTCCACATGCCCCTCCTTCACCTCTAGCCATCACCTCACTATTTCTTTTTATTTTAGAGGCAGGGTCTTGCTCTGTCACCCAGGCTGGAGTTCAGGGGTATGATTGTAGTGCACTGCAGCCTTGAACTCCTGGCCTCAAGTGATCCTCCCACCTCAGCCTCCCAAAGTGCTGGGATTACAGTGGGAACTGCTACTCCTGGCCTCATCACTACTTCTTCATGCTTCCTTAGTCCCATTTGGCCTGCATCATCCCCAAACAAGGACGCAGTGCTCCTTTGATTCCTTAAAGCAGTGCTAACACAAAGGTGACATGTTCGTGCTTAACGTGGTTTTTGCTACAGACTTGGGGTTGATGAGGGCAAGTTTTTACAGGACATGTGACCTAAAGCTGAATGTAAAACATCCAGCATTGTGAGGAGCCCCTTCTAATCTCCCTTCAGCCCTGTTTTCCTGCCATATTGGGCAGATTAACCTCTCCATTTTGATATATATATATATTAGTTACAGGTACATGAACCTGAGTCTACCTTCATACGGACTTTGCTTTATCCTTTATGTTTTTATTTTCTACTCCAGCTTTGTTTTTCAGATCAGGTAGTGGAACTAGAAAACATCAAAATGCAAAAAAACCTCTTTTACCAACATAGACAAGTGTATAAAAGCAAAACTCTGCCTTTTCTGTCCTGCTCCAGCACTAGACCTCCCTTTGCAGAACTAAAAGGCACATTGAGGCAATTCCCCAAACTGAAGAACACCCCTTTCCCCAAGCTGAATTTGTTTATGACCTCTGGAGATGCCTTTAGA